TTTTTTTTGTGGGGGGGGGGGGGGGGGAATGCTCGCGGAATTTAACAGGACGATGTGGGGTTGAGGACCATATCGACAACAAATTTAAAATTTGATTTGGCTTGGGCGTCACGAGTACTTGGCAGTTTTTTCAACAGGCAAATGCGTTCATACTTTTGGAGGAAGATTGGGGAAATAATTTAAGAATTGTGATTTTATAAATTACGAGGGGTTTTATGAATGAATTATAAACAATCAATTCAGTAGCGAAGCGGTAAACCAGTTTAAGTCGACTTAGCTCTTCGCTGAGTTTTCGAGGGATATTTCTGAATCTAAGAGAGGTAGCGGAATTTTTATCATCACCTTTTTGTAGCGCTTAATTTGCTTTACAAAAAAAGTTATTATAAAACATTTTCTATCTCCCTTAGGTTCCGAGATATTCATTAAAAACTGACCAATAGTCTAAATCGACTTAAACCGGTTTACCGCTTCACTACTGAATTTTACATCATAAAAATCAGTTGTTCGGAATCGTAACGAGTTTATTCGTATTCAGAATTTTAACGGAAATCGATTTCATTCCTGAAAAATTAAGATTTTCGAAAGTTTAAACAATTTTGATTATTTATTTATAGATAATGAATGTTTAGAAAATTATTCATTCTGTGCAAAATGTAATTTGAGTGACGTTAGAGATTCATGATTTTCGAACGCAATTTGATTGATAAATTTCATGATTGAAAATCGTTGAATTTATAGATTTTGTAGTAATTTATATTTGACCCCAAGTTTCCGGACATTTTACAATGATTTTATTGTTTAAACTTTGCAGGTCTGAATTTGAATCTCGATATTGAACCGTTGGAAAACATTTAACAATCTGGAAGAAAATTAGAAAGTCTACTTTTGGAGAAAGATTGGTGAAATAATTTAAAAAATGCAATTTTTTAAAATTACGAGCATTTTTTGTAAATAATTTGTCAACAATCAATTTTCCAACACAAAAATTATTTGTTCGGAATCGTAACAAATTTATTTATATTTCGAATTTTCCCAGAAAAAATCGACTTCATGAATAAAAAAATTAGGTTTCCGAAAGTTTAAACAAATTCAATTATTTGTTTATAAATAATTCATGTTTAAAGAATTATTCATTCTGTGCAAAATGAATGACGTTAAATATTCATGATTTTTGTTAAATTTCTCACGCAATTTGATTGATGAATTTCATGATTAAAAATGTTTGAATTTATAGATTTTACAGTAATTTATTGTTTAAACTTTACAGGTTTGAATTTGAATCTCGATATTGAACCGTTGGAAAACATTTTAAAAATCTGGAAAAAAATTAGAAAGTCTATTTTTGGAAGTAGATCGATGAAATAATTTAAATATTGAAATTTTTGAAAATTACGAGCATTTTTTGTAAAGAAAATAATAAAAAATTAATTTTGCGACATAAAAATCATTTGTTCGGAATCGTAACAAATTTATTTATATTTCGAATTTTCGCAGAAATCGACTTCATGAATAAAAAAATTAGGTTTCCGAAAGTTTAAACAATTTCAATTATTTGTTTATAAATAATTAATGTTTAAAGAATTATTCATTCTGTGCAAAATTTAATTTGAATGACACCGAATACTCACGATTTTTTTCACAATTTTCTCACGCAATTAGATTGAGGAATTTAATTATTTAAAATAGTTGATTTTAAGGTCGGAATTTAATTTATAGTGATATTCAACTACTTTGGTTACTTTTTCTCCAGTAGAAAACAGTAACAGAAGCAGAGCTTTTGATTTCATTTGCGCCCTATTTGACCCTAAGTGTCCGGACATTTTACAATAAATTTATTATTTAAATTTTGCAGGTCTGAATTCCAATCTTGATATTAAATCGTTTGAAACAATTTTAAAGACATTTTAAAAATGTAGAAAAAAAAATTGAAAATTTACTTTTGGCGGAAAATTAACGAAATAATTTAAAAATTGCAATTTTGAAAAATCACCAGCCTTTTTTATAAATAATTTATAAACAATCTATTTTTCACTATAAAAACCATTTGTTCGGATTCGTATAATCATTTGTCCATAATAAAATGAGCAAAATGACGAAAAGAAATGGAAAAAAAATCACACCTCAACGATTCCTTAATCTGACTCCCTTTAATTCACACAATTTTTTCAGATTCCCCATCTGTAGTCTTAAAAAAAAATTGAAATTTTCAAAAAGCATTAGTTAATTACATTTACGCATATATTTCGCATGTGCAGGATTTTTTTGCAAATGTCCCGGGCTATTTATTCCGAATATAATGAGAAAAATGATGAAAAGAAATCTAAAAAAAAATACTTCAATGATTCACTAAGCACTTCAATTTAAATATTGAAGTGTTCTCTGCCAAACTGTAAAAGATACTTGGATATCCTTAAACGAATTTTCACTCGCACCAAATGAAGTTCTACTTTTATTCTACCACATTATATTATACCGTCTCACAATCTTCACGATGTTCAACAGTAAATTTTGAGTGTGGCAGGTATGGTCCTCGCTCACTATGTTCCGGCAGTAAAGAATAATTTTATATTTTTCCGCGAACGTTAGATTACTTCGAGATATTTCGGGATGGCGAGGACATTCAATTTGATTAGTCCGTTGTCAGTTTGGTAAGTCAGGTCCATTTGGGGAGATTATAGTTATGAGCGGAAAAACCATGAATAATTGTAAAAATGGGACAACATATTGGGAGAGCGATGAGAGTGATGTCAATTTGGGGGAAAATTAAACTTCATTAACTCGCGGTGGGGTGGCCATATAGAGTGTATTAATTCTTATTCTCGTTATTTATTTCAGAAATGGGGTAGCAAGTCTGAATAAACTTGTACGCCCCCGGGGGATTCTTAATTTTGCTTCACTTTAATTATGAAAAATAATTACAAGGGAGGATTGCGCCGGATTTTTGCTTTTATCTATCGGGCTGATGAGTTTGCTACTTCCGTTTTAATATAAAAAAATAAGAAGGAATTGGGTTTTGATTTTTTTTATTAGAAAGAGGCTGTAGGGGGTTAAAATCATTTAAAGTGTCCTCATGACGCAAGTTTTAACAGATTGACTCTAATTTTGGTTCACACATTCATGAGATGTAGACTAATACAAGTAAATGAGATTTTTTGGAGTTTTGGGATTTTTTTTTTCAAAATTGGGTGAGATACAGAATTTGAGAATTAGTCATATTCAAGCACATCATAAATAATAAATCAAATGAAGAAGGAAATTTTTTTAATGCCTTATTTAGTCATGTTTGTGCTAATATTTCGTATCTGTAGGGTTTTTTCCGATTTTTTGAATCATTTATTCAGAGTATAATGAGAAAAACGATGATAAAAATCTTGAAAATTTCATACTTCATCGATGATTCACTAAAAACTTCAATTTAAACATTTTTTAGATTTTTCACCTGTAGCAATATTCAGAAAATAAAATTTTTAAACACAAAAAATGGAGATTTTCAAAAAGCCTTATTTACTTATATTTATGTACATATTTTTTTAATGTGGGATTTTTCTTCTGCTTTTTGGAATCATTGATTCAGAAATATAATAACAAAAATTAATAATGAGAATATTTAAACAATAATATTTCAATGACTCACTAAGTACTTCAGTTTAAACAGTTGTTCAGATTTTTCACCAGTGGAAATTAAAAAAGAAATTCAAAAACTCAAAAAAATTGAAATTTTCAAAAAGACTTCTTTAGTTCTATTTATTTATAATGTATATAGTTTGCATCTGTCTACCAAAATTCAAATCACTCGATTGAGAACAGCGTCATGAGGGCACTACTGAAAATTCCATGAACAAAAGAAATGAAAATCAAATTTTTCCATATTTTTAACATTAAAATTGAAGTGGTAAACTCGTTAGCACGATAGTCAAAGGCCCCTGCGATTTTAAAATTGCAGGGCGGTTTCCCGTTAAATAACATTTTTGGTTTTTTGCTATGACATTGTGGAGGCACTGGAACAAAGTCTGGTAATTTGATGCTCCTATTTGAATATTCTAGAGGACGAAGTGACGAGGGGTGTCGACTGATAAAATTCAAGTGAACATTCATCTAATTCTGCAGTTTGTATGCTGCGGAAATATCAGTATTAACACCGGTGGGTACATTAAATTTACCAGTGTTAATGCTTGCAGACTGTTGAATAATATATCATTTTACAAACAGATTTATAAAATAATTCAGGCGAATGTCATGAAATTCGCGACAATTTTATGATTCAATAAAAAATTTTTTAACGACAAACATGTTTGTGAAAATAATGTTGTTATGTTTACAGCTATAGATGAACCTCTGAATTGACTTTTGAAAGAAGCTTCAGATATAAATAATGGAGATCTCGATTTTGAACGAAAAATGAGGGAATGGTTTCAATTACAGATGTTCCATTACAATTTTAATTCCCCGACGTTTTTTACTTTTTAGGTATAAAAATATAATTATTTGCGTTTTTCCACACACGGATTGTTTGAATTCATTTTGATATTGATTGATCACATATTTCCAGTTATATTTTTATGCAAAAGTTTGTTATTTACGAAATTTTGCTATTCGTTGGAATTTATAATTCATAATTCCCTGAGATTTTAAAATTTTCTCACCTAAAAATATCATAATTTGAGGCATTCAATTTTTTTTGTCATCCTGTTGTTATTCGTTAAGGGGAGACCGCGGCGAAATTCGAAAGCTGCAGAGGGTTGTCTCTATCCTACAGATGCCTTTGATACTTATTTTTGATACTCAATAAATGAGAAAAATCATCTTTCAATTTGTTCCACCGAAAAATTGGAATTTTCAAAAAAGCTCGTATATTGTGTTTCATCACTACATTATGTATATGGTCACCACAATTGAAGTCAATGGATTAAAAATCCTGCTGAGAGGACTATTTTGAAGATTTTATATCTGTACAGGCACACGCTGTCAATGAAAGAAATTAAAACTCGATTTTTTATCATTTCTCTCTATATTATAAATATCCAAATCGACTTCTGGTGATAAAAATTTGGTACTCGAAATGAAGACTCTAAAATTTAGGGTCATGAGGGTCAGAACACGGGTCATGAGAGTCAGAAAAAGGGGTATGAGGGTCAAAATAAAGTCAGAAAAAGGATCACAAGGTTAAGTGTGATGGGGGTCAGAAACTAAGGGTCAAAATAAGGGTTGCGAGGGTCAAAAAAGGATCATGGTTGTCAGAATAAGGGTCATGAGGGTCAGAATAAGGCTCGCGAGGGTCAAAATAAAGTCAGAAAAAGGGTCACAAGGTTAAGGGTGATGGGGGTGAGAAACTAAGGGTCATCAGGGTCAAAATAAGGTTCATGGAGGCCGGAATAAGGGTTGTGAGGGTCAGAGTAAGGGTCATGAGGGTGAAAATAAGGTCAGAAGAAGGTCACAAGGTTAAGGGTGATGAGGGTCAGAAACTAAGGGTCATAAGGGTGAAGATAAGGGTCATGGGGGTCAGAATAAGGCTCATGAAGGTCAGAATAGTGGACACGAGGGTCAAAATAAGGTCACAAAAAAGGGTCACAAGGTTAAGGGTCATGGGGATCAGTAACTAAGCGTCACAAGGGTCAGAATAAGGGTCACAAGGGTCAGAATAACGATGGGGATCATATGGGGGTTGTATGGGGGTCATACGCGGCTCATATCAGGGTTGGCGAGCGGAGCGAGCAGAGGGCGCAGCCCCCTAGTTAAAAAATGGGTTTTAAATCATCAGCATGGAAGGGACAATCCCCTGCAACTTTCAAATTTCCCAACAGCCTCCCCGTAAAATTAGTTGATGCACTGTTTCAACTGCACCCAAATATCATGCTTCTAATCATTCAATACCGCAGTTTGAATTGTTATCTGTTTGCACATGTGCCCATTACGAAATGTACACAGAGAATCGTGTGCAAACCGCTGTAGATACGATGTATTCCGAGTATCTGGAAATGATACAGTAGCGCGTTCCGATTTGACCCGGGCTTTCCACCACTTCTCAAGTGTATCGAACCTCGTTAGGCATGCAAACAGTAGAATGGGGTGTTTTTCAGGAGAATTCTTGAGTTTTCGATTCGGTTCGTTCCCGGTAACAACCAATTTTTCCCGATTTCAATAGAACCTTTTGTGGGAGAAGGGGATATTCATGTAGGGAAATCATTGGAATGAGCTTCACGTGCTCTAGTTGCAAGAAAACAGGATTAAAAGTAACAAGCAGGATTAAAGCAAGCAAGCATTTGGATTCATATAATTAAGCAATTAGTTTGAGTCAATGGTTATTGGTTTGAGGCATGTTATTAAGTGTGAATTCTTATTGTTTATTAAAGACTGTGACTTTCTTGCAAAACTGCTGGGTGACAATTTTTTTATGTTTTTCCTCTGTCCATATATTCAAAAAGGAAATTGTGTCCGGGGAATTTCTTTCCGGGGAAATTGCACGGAGAGAAATATTCAATATAATATACGTATCTTTTCCGTAATTCCGGAGCGAAATGTGGTTATAGGAAATTTTACGGAACTGTCACGTAATTGTTACTTAAAATCATGGAATTTTTCCAGAGCCTTCCGTAATTTTTACCTAAATCTCCTGTGAAAAATTACGATACCGTCACTTAAATTTGTGTGTGCAGGGAATTCATGTCCGGAAAATTCTGTCCGGGGAAAATATCTACCACCGGAATCACTATATTGCTTTAAACATAACGAAATGGCATCAATTAATCACATTTGTGAAGTTTATTTTCTGAGGATTATCAACTTCTAGGAGCACAAGTGTCATAAATTTACGTAATTAACATTTTTTAGCATTCGAAGGGGGAGCTGATCCTTATTACAGCTTTGAAGTGAGAAAAAATTAAACGCAAACACCTAGCGCATTCTCTAGAAAATTCTATTGAATTTATAAATTCTCTTGGAGTTCTACTAGAATTCTACTGAAAGATTCAATTTCTTTTGCGGCAATTCTGTTAAACATTATGCAACGTTATAGGAAAATGTCTATGGATGATGATTTTAGAAACGACACGGCAAAGTTTTATAATCTCATATAGAAATAGGGCAAAAACAAATAGAGTTTCGAATAAAATTCTAATAAAACTTCAAGAGAGTTTCAATAAAATTCGAAAAAATGTCTTAGAAAAAGCTCTCGGTTTTTCGATTAATTTGTCTCATGTGTGATAGCTTTTCAAAATCATTTTCAAGCTTTTAACGATTGGTTGCTTCCCTTCATTGCAAAGGGGGATATTCCTGTAGAGAAATATTTGAAACAAGCTCACACTGAGAGAAAAATTTCCTAATACGTATCATATTTACTTGAGAGAAGTAAATTATTTTCAATGGTTCAAATCTCAGAATGTTTGCGGTTCACGAAACTCAAATGGATTCTCATTTATCACTAACGTTGCGCATTGTATCATGAATATATTACGTATCGAAATATTGGAACTGCATGACAAAAAAATTATGAAAACCATAAATACTTGAAGATTGACAATTCTTCTACGTGACTTGAGTGAGTTCATTTGCGACAAAATGATACTTGAGTACAAGAATTAGTTACAGCATGAGACCTTTCTCGGGCCACGTGAGTTGAGGTGTCTGGGAGAATTAAACAATTGAAGAAAAATTACTTGTCTCAAGAAAATATGTTTCAGATACTAGAATTTTTTTTTCTTAGTGCACATGCTCTAGTTACAAGCCAACGTCATTAAAAATAATACGAATTTTAATATTCCATTGGAAAAAAACGGAGTCGTTCCAATTAGTGACACTTGTAATGTTCACATTCTGAAGTGTCTCAATTTTCATCAGCAAAAGTGCCATAAGTTTACAGAATTATTTTCTTGCATTCGGACGGAGATTTCGTTCTCATTACAGCTTTGAAGGGTGGAATACATTTTAAAAATAATTTTCAAGTTTGGAACGATGTGGCATTTCAATGGTAACTTTCCTTGAAAAATAAATATTAGGATAAACAAATCTTCGAAACAAGATTCAGATACTGTAATTATGTCGTGAATTGGTAAACTAGGATAAGTGCATTTTTTCGGAAATTTTGTTTTTTTTGCTAAATGGCTTCCATAAATTAATGGGAATCCTGGTCTGCACGGAGAGAAATTTTCTAGAAAAATCCTAGTACGAGTACTAGAAAAAATCAGAATCCACCGGCTGTGAAAAATTCTAGTGCTACTAAGGTAAAATTTCTTGGTATTTCTGGTAAAATTTCTGTGTAATTTTCACGGAAATACGGGGAAAAATTCACGTTTTCCCTAATAAAATTTCTAGTGCCGGCACTGGAATTTTTTCCTGCCGTCACTTTGCGCTTTTCCCGTGCTAGCACAGCAATGTTTCTAAAAAATTTCTCTCTGTGTGGACTATCCAATTTTATCCGTAAATTTCTGTTGTAAACTAATGTAGAGAATTATCCTGGTTCGCCTCATATCTATTCTAAAAAACGTTTTTTAGTACTAGTTGTCTAAGCTATCCCTGATAGATCAAACGCAGAGTTAACTCTGGGTCAACTCTGGGTTTACAGAAAAAACCCAACGAAGGAAGAGAGAAACTCTGGGAAATTTCCATGAATGCAGAGTTAACCCAGAGTTAATTCTAGGTTTGTTTCATCAGGATATGTAAATGTTGCAAATGAGGGCTGTTTTTTGATAAATGAAAACCTGGTTTAAAACATCGGGTGAACAACATTCGTTGCAATTTTGGTTTTCTGAGGTTTTTGAATTTAGAAAGGGGATCCTGAGTTTTTTGGATTTTTGATTCAGCCGAATTTTTAATGAAATTGGTCTCTGGGGACCGTCGCTTGCCGTTTCGAGACGTTGACCAAGAACATGTCACTGATTTCAGGCCCATGAGATCCTGAGAATTCACAACGACTTCACGCAATCGACATGAGTTGAACATTGGTCATGGAGCTGCGAATAATTTCAGCCATTTTGGCCATATTTGTGGTGAATGTCGTTCATACTGGAATAGCCACAGTTGCAGCAGGTCAGTGATTAGCCGTAACACATGAAAATGATGAAGACTCATCACAGTTCCTGTTTACGATATTTTTTCTTTTCTTAAAGGGAGACCACTATGAGTTTTAAAAGTCATGGGTTATTGGAGTGAGACTTTTCATACGTTGAGGATCGATTATACAGATCTAAAAACGAATAATTAGTGCAAAAAAAATTTTTTTTATTGTTCGTTTGCCCGAAAACGCTTAAAATGCTAAAAACAGTCCAGGGCCTCCAATTTTTGAGCTACAAAAGTTTTTTTTTATAATTTTGGGAAAAATGTGTGGAACAACAATTACGAGCCAGTTTTTTGGAATTCGACTCCTACACAGCTGATTTCGGTTTTTTTTATCTAAAAAAATTCACTATTTCAATTCACTATGTATGAAGCGAATAAAAAAAACTAGCCCGTAATTGTTATTCCACATATTTTTCCGAAAATTTTGAAAAAAAATAATCCTTCGTAGCTCAAAAATTGGAGGTTCTGGACTGTTTTTGGCATAGAAGGCCACCGTTTCCCTGAAATTTCAAAACAAATTTCGGGCGCAAAGTTATTAATATTTTTGGTATCCAAAGCATATTGATCTTCATCATCGACTCCTGGAGATTAATGTGCTCTGATTTTATTAAACTATCGACTTTCTGCAGGAAATTTGTAAAACATTTGGAAAATTAAGGGCAATCTGTTACCCCTTAAAGGAAGACTACTATGACAAAACCAATAATTAGTGTAAAAAATTAATTGTTTATTGTTCGTTTGCCCTGTAGATGCTTAAAATGTTAAAAATATTTCAGGGCCTCCAATTTTTGAGCTACAAAGGTATTTTTTCAAAATTTCTGAAAAAATGTGTACAATAACAATAACAAATTAGTTTTTTGAAATTAGTACTAAATTTTTTGTTTAAAGATTAAATCTATTGTTGGAATAAAAATGTTCACGCTCGGCGCACGTTTCGCACAGAAAAATCTTTTTAAACATTTTTAATGAAAAAAAATTGAAACAAAAAAGAATTTTTAAAAACGATTTTTTTGACACAAATAAGATTTGTTTGAGAACTCTGCTGTTTTTCCCTCGGCGTATCGCACCCGGTACTTTACATAAACATCGTAAAATCGGATACTTTATCGTTGAATGCGCTTGCTTCCCATCTAAAGAGATTCAATCTCGTGGCTGGCGACCGCGGCTTAGCATGGTTAAACACTCATCCCCTTAGGATAATACGATGGCCACTGTGTGTACACAGGTCAATTACTTTCTAGCGGAGGTTACTTGCAAGACAAGTATTGTCGGGGGTAAGATCTACTGTGGAGTGTTCTGTCGTCTTGACCGAAGGAAATACAGAAATACAGAAATGTATCAGAAGCAAGGTTCTCTATTGAAGGGAGCCATTCCTTCAATGAACAGAAAAAGCGAATGTGTTTGACTTCAGGCTCCTTCAAGGAAAAAAGACGAATGGAAAAATAACTCGCAATGATGCTTTTACTTGAAGTTGAACTTATTTTTTATTTCGGTTTTCATTCGGTTTCGTATCGAATGAACATTTTTTCCTTGCGAATGGAAGCATTGTAATCGTTCAAATTTATGTTTTCGATTTTTTGTGTTGTATCGACCCATTTGATCCTAAAAGTCCGAAAATCCATTTTTAGACGGTGTCCGTACACGGAGAGGAATTTTATATAAAAATTGTAGAACGAGTACTGGAAAAATTACAATCCACCGGCTGTGAAAAATTCTAGTGCTGTTAAGGTGAAATTTCTTGTTTTTTTTTGTAAAATTTCTGGGGATTTCTGTGAAATTTTCACAGAAATACGGGGAAAAACTCACGTTTTCCCCAATAAAATTTTTAGTGCCGGCACTGAAATTTTTTCCCGCCTGTCACTTTGCGCCTCTTTCCCCGTGCTAGTACTAGAATTAAAAAAAAAAATTTCTCTCTGTGTACACTCGTATGAATGTGTGTATGTAACAAACTTTTTCTTCAATTCTCGCTAATGAATAGACGGAATTGAATCATTTTTTTCTTAAATGTAGGTATTGCGAAGCCCTATAAATCGCTGGTAATTAAAATTTAATTGTTTCATTGATTCATTTTTTTAATTTTCGAATTTTTCAAAATTCAGTTGGAATACGATATCTAAAAAAATGTTCTGAATTCATTGAATTACGGCTTGAAAAATTCGTTGGAATGTCCTTTTGACCGAGTTCGAAGATGAAAGCGATAGTAATAATCGTTATTTTGATTTCTGTGAAAATTTTCCAAAATTTCGTATTTTTCGAAAATCAAAATTCCGCAGATATCTCTGGATATTGCGCTTGAAGTGAATTCAATCATAGCGTAATCTGTTTGTTTCTATGCGACTATATCGAAGTTAGAAGATAGTTGCAATAACTGTCTCGGTTAATTTGATTATTAGGATAATTTTTAGAAATTTCGAATTTTTCACGAATTTCCCGGAAAGTCAGCTTTCTAGTAATTCCTTTAAATGTGATGTTTCGAATGCATTCAATTACGTATAAACGAAATATTCCCAATAATATTTCAATATTTGTCTAGCGAATTCTCTAGGTTTTTCTATTAAAATTTTTCGTATGCAAATGAACGACTTTATTTGTTACGAATGAAATCGTTGTTTGGAGAAATCCACATCGGTCATTCCTCAATCTGGAGTATGCAATCTTTACGTGAAAAGACAATTCGATTTTTGATAATAAATTCAAAGATTTTTACGAGTCCAATTTTTTCAGACTTTTTACGTTTCTCGTTTGAATAAATTTTTCCTTAAATGGGATCTCACAAATCCCAATCCTGTGGGTATAGATCTGTTCAGAAGAGGATATCAGAGAAATGCGTTTGCTTTTCTAATGCAAGGTAAATGCAGAAATGGAGATGGGGTCATAAAAAGGGAGCGCCCAGGAGATCTGCCCAAAGGGGGTTAAATAAATAGTTTTATTTGATTCAAAAAATGCACCATTTCTTTGGCTACTACCCCTTTGAACTGTTTCCCCATTTATGCCAGAATCCCAACGACTAATTGACTGAAAAAAAAGAAACCGTCAATACTACATAATTAATGAGAACTTTCCTCGTAATTTCCGTAGTCCAAGAACCTCAATAAAAATTCACATATAATAGGGAGAAAATGTTTCTCGAATATAACGTTTCTCGAATGCAGCATCGCAGATGAGGAAATACAACACTTTGTGAATAATTCCCTTCAAAGATATCAATGACGCAGATTTGTGCGTTTATAAATTTCACAGAGCTGTAAAAAACATTTCCTCCATACTCGTTCAAGATCTTCAATTGATATCATATGAAAATAAAAACACTTGAGACTGATCTCAATCTCCCATCCGAGATAAACTACATCATCACAACACAAAGTTTAGAACCGACATATGATTGCTTTCTGAAGTTTGCTTGTGATCACGCACGATAAAATTTCCAAGAACAACCTGGTGAACTCGCTAGAAAATTCTGTTGGTTTTCTACGGAACTATTAGTTTTCAGTCGATTCTTTCTTTTTATTGATGATTTCAGCCGATTCTGTTGACAATTTTTATTAAATTCAGTGACGGCCCTTAAAAAAAGACATAATATGGGCCAATTCCATATAGTTTTCAAAATATAAATTATTCCGTGTGGGGGGGACGATCGATTAAAGCTCTCAGAGCTGATCGTGACTAACATTACTATTGTATTATGGGCAATTACTTTGTACCTGATACTTGCCATCTTCTTATACTCTTAGTAGCTGAAATGATATAATTTTTTTTTAATTGAAGGGACTATCATGTAAAGGTTTAAACCCTGTTGTTGGTCACGACTGTTAGGTTTTCTATAAATAAATAGATAAATAAAGGAATAAATGAATGAATAAGTAAATAAATAAATAAAATTCCACAGCTGATCTCCGCCTTTTTCCTTCAATAGAAATATTCAATGAAAATTGTTTGATAGAAAAAATGCATCGAATTTGCTATTTCTACACTTAATTATACTATACTTATTTAGGTTAAATTTATCGAGTTTTTTCGTTTGATTTCATTAACGAAAAGAGAAAAAGAAGAGACGAAAAAACGTGGAAAATTCGTGTTGAGGAATTCTTATGGAAAACGTCTCATAGAAAAAGTTATATAGATATAAAATTCTAGTGATGTTTCAAAAATAATATAGTTCCCATTGGACATTTTTCTATAAAAAACGCTCAGTAAAGCTGCGGAATTCTTCAATGGAATCGGCCAGAAACTAATAAAATTTTCAATAGAAGTTCAATAGAAATTCTAATGAATTTTTACTCAAATTCGCAGAGTTGTTCTATGAAATTTATGAGGAATCAATGAATATATATGTGTGTGTTGTGGTCTGAAGAAAAAACCCATTGAAGTGGTATGAAGAAAAGAGGAGGCGTTCCGTCGCCAGATATTCAGAATAGGAATTCATTATAGACAAAATATTAGAGACGATAAGCTCTTAGGAAATATTGCGTTAGAGAGCAGAGTGTTTATGCTATGGTCGTATTTACATTTTGAGAGTTTCTTGGGTGAATGAATCCTTTTTCCGATTAATTGTTTATGATGATTCTCGTTACAAAAAGCAAAAATATGTCCCAATTCATCAGCTGTTAAATTTTCGTATTACAATAAATGATTTGCCCAATGTTCTAATTCCTATGCTCACTGAATAAGATTTTAATCATAATTACAATTCAATTCCTTCTAGAACACACTTTAGAGTGTGAATTTCTGGAATTCAATGTTTGTTGCCCACACTGTTATCAATTTTTAGTTAGTTCACAGGGTAATTTAATTAATCTGTTATTCATCTCATCAATATAATTCCGTGCTTAGAATATTGTCATCTCGTGTGTTCAGCACCAAATTAAGAATTAAAACTTCATTTGGAATATTAATATTATTAATTAATTTTATTTTTATTTCATTTGTTTGTAATTTTATTTCTATTAATATTATTTGTTCAAAGTGAAAAAATCGATCATCATTTGCACTATATTGCATTCAGATTCTCCTATCCTTAACGTCAAAAGTGTGAGATAATCTCATAATTCCAGCTATTAATTCTAATCAACTTTCTTCGAAGAAAACCTTAGTAAACGCAATATTAAGAAAGTAGAATTATTCTGTTTTCCTCTGACCTAAATGACTTGGACAATGATTCGTCTATTCATGTTTCATAGAATAGTATTCAATTCTCTTTTGTTTGCGAAAGGATTCGATATGAACTCAAATATACGTTCACTTACTCCATTAAATAAATATCCTGTCCTCATGATTATGATCCTCCGTTCATTCATGCGCGATGTTTTGACATTCACTGATGTTCTCCTTCACAGGATCGAAACCCTTTCCAGGACTGGAAAATCTACCCAAATCTTTCTGGCACGAGCTCAGTTCACCTTTCACCGAGGTGAGTTCGCTCTCTACCATCCCAGCAGCAAGATGTTTGTTTTAAAATCAATTTCAAAGTTTCGCGACGACTCTGCGGACATTCGCAACTCGAGAGAGAGTGAGAGGAATGTGCATCTCAGGTATAAACCCGCCATTTGTTAATGTCATTCTCATTGAATATTTCATAGGCTTACGAGGAAGAGACTTCTGCGACGGAAAATCATGCGACTCTGGAGCCGCGACCCTTTTTCGAGGATCCTGAAAGTAATGTTACCGTTCAACTCGGTGCACAGGTGCATCTCCACTGCAGAGTTGAAAATTTGCAGAAGCGAACGGTCAGTCAATTTTATTTGCACTTCCTCAATATTATAAATTCACATAAATTCCCATCTATTTTTAATTTAATCCTTATAACGCTGACCCAGAAATGGGAAATAACCGATTGGGTCTATCTGAAATGAATGAATAATGTAAATAGTCTAATCCGCTTTGTATGCATCAATCAATTTCCCCCGCCCCCCGCCGCATTCCTGGGTGCATCTACCAAGTTAATTAATTAATAAATAACTGAGAGATTAATCAATGAGTAGAGAAAATGCTGTGTACAAGACACATCATCCGAGAATAATTGCCAATCATTAATTCCGATGAATATCAAAATCCCAAATTACCCTCATTCTCCAGATTTCATGGGTGCGGAGACGCGGAAACGAGCTTCATCTATTGACCTTCGGCATTCACACGTACTCTAGTGATTCACGCTTTTCACTGGATTATCAATTGCCAAATGATTGGCGATTGCTACTGCGATCAGCCACTGAGCGCGACGCCGGTATTTATGAATGTCAAGTCAGCGTTCATCCGCCATTGACTAGGACTGTGCACTTGATAGTGTCCGGTGAGTAGACTATCACATTTCGAAATGCGTTTTTCAGGGAGGGCTGCGATAGTAATAAGCAGAAAATCATCATTCATACTTATAAACTGAGTAATTAACAATTTTTTAAAATTGGATGGCAATGTTGTATATTGGCTATAAATTCTCATATGATCAACATCAGGGCGATATATGTTATATATATGCGAATTTAATATTCGTATGAATATACCGCATATATATCGATTGTATAATGACCTGTATATTGCATATACCATCGTATAATAGCAGTATACACAATACATATTTTTTTGCATTCAGAAGACTTTTTTTTCTGAAAATTTTTGAAACTTTTTTTTTTTTTTCTGTTCAAAAAGATTTTTCTCGAAGTTTTTAGACTCTCAATTTTGTGATCCTTGAAATGTTGACGATGCGATCGCAAAGATTTTCAAAAAAAATGTCTTCTGAAGAAAAAAAAATTATTTCCCGAATATTTTCAAAAAGAAATTGTTCCAGAGATCTTTCGAAGTTTTCTCTGAACGATTTTGTCTTCTGAAGAATCTTTTTGGGTCACCGAAAAAATCTTTTACATAAGCTTCCGAAGAATCTCTGGAAGATATTCGAAAGACAGAAGTGTTTCAACGTGGATAGAAATCGGCGAAAAATGCTGTATAGCACTTGTATGTAGAATATACGCCTCTATATGTTTAATATATGTGTCATATATCCATCATAGATTTATTTATATATTTTCCACATATATAATTTTCCGTGCGGCTAGCTCCTTCAGGAAGAGGTGGTAAAAACTGTCACCAGAGGGACACGGCGTCTTGAACTCTCTTTCACTAAAATTAATATAAAAAGTATCCATGAAAGGAGAATGAAGATATAAGTCGACTTATTTCGCTCGAAAATTTTATCATATCGCAATGAGTCGACTCAACTCGCAGGATGATAGTTGAGGATGAAATTCAGGACTTATCCCGTTTTTCACTTGAATAAAAATATAGTTAATTTTTTTTTTTTTTTTTTTTTTTTTTTTTTTAATGCCCGGTGGCTTGGCGCAGTGGGTAAGTTCGTTGCCTCACATGCGAAAGGTTCCGAGTTCAAATCCCGGCCGAGTAGAATGGTGCGATCTAACCATTTAAAGTCTTGATCATCATCGCAGTATATCATAACCGGGTCGAAGCGATGTAAAATAACGATAAAAAAAATAGTTAATTTTTTTTACTCAAATCGTTCATAGGAGATATGTAATACAATATGTAGAATCGTTTTCCATCAATAACTCATTTTCGGAAAAAAAACCGACTTTACCGCTTCGATACTGAATTCATTAGCAAAAGTAATTTTTTTCTCAGTGTAGGATTTTCCATAAAAATTTTTCATACGTGCACTTTTGAAATGTCATTAATTCGTTTCAGTACCACGCGTCGAAATAGTTGATGAGCACGGCGCAACTGCATCTGACAAATTTTATAAAGCGGGAAGTACAATAGAACTGAAGTGTGTAGTGAGTAAAGTACCTCATCCGAGTGGTTACGTCACTTGGAGGCACGGAGCTAGAATGCTCAATTACGACACTATTCGAGGTGGAATCAGGTAACATAACTACTTCCATGCTCCCATTCCATGTTCACTTCTTTTTACACCGTAACGATGGAGTAAACTGCCCTGAAAGGAAGGAGTTGCATACGGCATTAAGAACGTATGGCAAAATTTCGAGTTTGCAGTGTCTTTTTATTTTCCGGTGAAAATAAAAAGAGCTTCATCTCTTGCGTATTAAAATGCGAATCGTTTCTTTCGTGTTTAATGATGTTTATCAAATATCATGCTTCCTCGTGGCACTCTGCCATGATCAACTTTTCTGTTGCAGCGTTAAAACTGACATGGGCTCTGAGGGAGCTACGTCCCGGCTGTACATTGCAAATGCCAATAAGAAAGACAGCGGAAACTACAGCTGCGCTTTGGCAGATGTAGCCGCTACTATTGTTTCCGTCCACGTATTAAATGGTAAATACGAGGAGATGATCACTTGGAAAATCTGATGTGAAACAATTTAAAAAATTGACAAATAAAGATGAATAAAAAAAAAAGAAAAAGAAAAAAGAAAAATAATACAGCACTTTTTCTGAGGAATTCTATTGGAGTTCCAGATGATTTTTTTTTGAAAATTCCATTTCTTTGCGCCAATTCTAGTGAAAAACTTGTGTCGTAAGATGATATTTTAGCGATTCGTTACATGGTCCTGTGACACGGTCATGTGACACGGCCAACCATGACAATTTATTGTCACACGACACAAACGTGACTGTTTTACCCCGTGACCGTCACATCCCATCTAATTAGTGGCACCCCAGGTGGAGGCAACTAGTTCGAAATTCGAAAATTCCCCATGATTACCTCCACAGATGGACAATCACAAAGCGTCAACATACGTGTCACTCGTATTTCAGTTTAAAAAAGGAAAATCAGTGGCGAGTTTATTGACTAAACACTTGAATTTGAAAATTTGAAAATTGAATTGAAATTTTGAATTGAAAGTTTGCGACAAGATTTTGTAACAAAAAAATTTATGACGGTCACATTACATCTAACTAGTTGATTATCATGTATGAGTCGACAGTGTGACTCATATATGACACACTGAAAATGATTTTAAAAAACACTGTGTGACCCAAATTATCACATGAAAAAACGTGACGTCACATGACGGTCACATGACCGTCATATTTTTGTGACCTGACAGATTTCAAAACGTGACGTGATAGTGTCTCATGGACATTTTACGTATAAAAGCGTGCAGTAAAGCTGGTGAACTGATCAATGGAATTGGCCAAAGCTGATAGAATTTTCAATAGAAGTTCAACAGAAATCCAATAGAATTTTCTATTGAATTCGCTAGGGTTTTCTGTGCAACTCTTTCGTACGTGTCATGCACTGTTACTTGAAAATGAAACTTCTGTTGCGATAAATCCTCATTCTTCTTTTTTTCATTTCCGTAAATTTTACATCGAATTTTGCATCAAATTTTGCGGTCGAAACGATAGTTTTATGCGGATAAGTTCTCTATTATAGAGAAAAACTTTTTTTTAGGTGAAAATCCAGCTGCAATGCAACATGGCGACAGCTCCAATCCCAACTCCACCGTTGTGGGAGTAATTTTGCTAACACTGTTGACACTCTTGAGATGACCTTGAAGTGTCATTCGTCCATCGAGGATGGCTATCTGTGCTGAATTTCCATGTATGGAAATATAAATACAAAATCAAATTCAACGAAAAATTTATGCCCCAGAATTTCTATAGAAAAATAAAAATCTATTGAGTTTTTTCTACAAAATATCTCATTAAAAAATGACATGCAAACAACAAAGGGAATTTTTTAATAGAATTCTAATAGAACTTCAAGATAATTCTTATCGCGTTTCCAAAATTCCGTGCCCAAAATTCCACTTTACACATTGTGGTGAAAAATGGATTTTGACACTCGTCGGAAAAGTGTTCTTTGACCTTTAGGAGTCCCACGGGTCAAAAACACTTTTTCGTCACTTGTGCGTAAAGTGAAATTCGACTTTTCACATTTCTGTGATGAAAAATGGATTTTGACACTCGTCGGAAAAGCTTTCGGCGACCGCTAAACACTTTTACGCTCTCGTATCGGAATATACTATTACGCACTCGTATCAAAATATACGATTTGTTTACAATTTTTTTTCAAGAAAACGCGTAAAAGTAAAAAAATGCGTAAAAGAATCATTTATTTAGTTCTATAACTTGCGCGTAAAGTGAAATTTTACGCGCCGATATCGAAATATACTATTTCTCATTACCCCAGCATTCATTACTCCACTGAGAGAAAACATTAGTTCTGCAGAAGAATTATGTGTTTCCCTGCAGGGATCTTGTCGTGTTGAATCAATTTACTTGTGGACAAAAAAGAAAGTTTCCACGAGGCCATGATCATTTTCGTAGTAGTAATTATTCTCGTGAGACATTTAATATGTCTTTCGGGTAAATACATTCGTTCTATAGAGAATCATATGAGGCTCCGGTTTTACCAGGTGAATGTTATTGAGTAGTGTATATCTTTGTACAAATACTATTAGAAATTTTTTGAAATTTCGTGGCAAGTCTGGTAGTAATTCTCATGAAGGTGACATTTAATCCGATTTAGGGGGAAAATGGTTATGAAATGTCAAGTTTTACTCAGAATTTAAGGAGATTCATGAGTTTTCAGCGGAAGTGGGACGGAAATCTCACAGCCTGTTTGAATTTTCAATGAAACATGAATATTCAAAAACAAAATGATATGAATCCTCAATTTTCCTTTGAATTTTGCTGATTTTTTCCAATTTTCACGGAATAATTGATCTGAAACATAAAGTAATCTATTGATTTTCTGATAATTCAAACTGAAAATCAATGGAATATTTTATTTCTCAATCACGAAATTTCCTGAAGTTTCACTGGAAATTAAACATTATAAAAATATCTGAAAGTTGCCACGAAAAATTCGGAGGAAAAATTCAAGACTACGTGAAACAAATGATAATTTCAAGAGGAAAACTGCAATTTTTTTACCAAAACCAGTGTTATTGACAAAACTAAATAATTTCGAGGAGACAATTTTTTTTTGGGAAAAAATATTCTTTCCTCGTCAATGCATTTTTTCTCTGATATAAACCTATGGAGTTCTCTCAGATTAAATGACTGCCGACATTTCGAATTCTTCTAGGGATATTTTTGGTGATCACGACAAAAATTCAATTCTTATGAAAGATTTTAAATTTCTTTCCATCAAGTTGTTTAATTTTTCTCAACCAAATCTGTTCCACTCCATCAAATATTCTCCCGTGGAACAGATAGTACTTCGGCAGACCTAGTTTTCCCCCTCAGTATCCAAAAGCAATGTTCGAATAGTAATGACAATGAAAACTTCCGCTCTTCCTTTCAGATATCCCAAAAACCAAATCGAATGACGATCCATGGAGACGCATCGCAGGAGTCCACGCATTTATCGTAAAATTGTGATTTGTAAGTGTTGAAATTCAGGATAATTGGAGAAAATCATCGGTATACCTTATTTGCGTAGTCCATGTATAGATCCAAGTGAAAATGCGTATCTACGTACATGTGGTACATGCGTTGGAAAGATTTAGGTATAAGACATCATAATTCACTGTACATAGGAATCAATAAGTGACATGCAGTAATAACGCTAGAGTAGATTACTTTTAAGGATGAGGGTGATGTGCAAAATGATATCAAAATAAAATGTACGATATGTCTCGTGATAGCGACGATGATATTTCAATGTTCAACAGATGGAATATAACGTCAAGAGTTTTTGTGAATTTTCCAACGCAATTGTGGAAAAATTGCTTCATCGAATATATTATCTCACTCAATAAATTATTTCTGTTCATATCTTTACAGTTTTTAATTTTCATTATTGTTATTCCCTGGTCCAGTGGATTTCGAGGACAAAAGAGAGGTAATTATGCACAATAAATTATTGTTATTTCGTAACAATTTTATTATTATTTTTTATTTATTTTGTCACATGTATACCCTCTCGCGTCTTTACATTTTGTTCCCATCCCTTAAATACTAAGAACCCTGTTGTGTAATAGTATCAGCATTTTGAGTTACAATCAGTAGACAAAATATAAAAGAAAACAAATGCCATAGGGGCTGTTGTCTTAACTAGAGAAAACATGAATGCCACAGAGGCTGTTGTCTTAACTAGTATCAATACATATTTTAAACTTCACACAGTACCAAATACATATTCCTCTTTGACTAGTGTCAGAAAATTTTATTATTATTTGTTGTTTGTTATTTTATTCATTGAAAACCCAACAGCCGAGGCCAATTATAGGGTCAAAGCTTTACACAGCATTATTTACAAACAAATATATACATATATACAACATGAGTATAAGAAAAGATGGCAGATTGCATAATCAACAAAGCAGTCTAGCTGCAGACGTACAAAATTCATACCGGAAGAAGAAATAACAGGAAAGATTATTAGGTCATTCTACGGGATTTGACGAACTATTATGATTATGATTATTATTATTATTATTATTATTATTATTACTATTATAATTATTATTATATTTTTAAAATACACTGGAAAGTTTTAAAAAATTGATAGCATGAAATTAAAAAAATACTACTTTTTCACATTAAGTTTTTTAACACATGTTCAATTTGAATTTCGCGGGCTGTAATGGCGTATCCATTGTCGCCAGTGTAAAGAAAAAATTCTCAGCTGTGACCCAGCTATAAGCCAGTTGTGCTGTAATAGCCGTCACCCTCACGTAGGCTGATAAAAAAATTCTTAAAATGATATTAAAGTGAAATTCCTCAGTAGAAAAATATGATCGATACGCGGTATGTTTATGCAATAGTACCTCTGATTTTTGGACTGTTATTGGGCATTTTCGACAGGTGAGAAGAACCAGAATATATTGATTTAAGAATGTAAACAATTGTTCGATATTTGTTTGTTGATTAAATTTTTATTGTTCTGTGTGGAATATGGACAGTTTCACATGGGCGTTGGGGCTTGTCTTGTTGTACGGTGTCAGCGCGCTATGGAGTGTTCAAATTCTGGAGTACCTGGGGGTGAAATTCAGAACTGATCGGACTGGGGATACTTACAAATCTAAGGATGACGGGGTGTGCAGAGTGTGCAGTGGGAGCGCATGTAATAGACATCGGCCTTCGGTGTTCAATACACATGTCAAAGTGCCGAAGGACTTTGATACCGCTCTTCAGAACGTAATTCAATTTTTTTTCGATGACTATGAGTTGTTTTCAGATACCTCATCATTCATGTAATTTCCTCTAATTTTACTCGAAACATTCCACATAAAACAGTTTTGTGGTCAAATTGAAGATTCAGACTTTTTTGCCCCCATTAAAAAATATATTTAAAAAATATATAATATGGGCCAATTCCATGAATTTTTCAAATTTATAAGAAAAAGAAACAAATATATATAGGCCATACATTTTATATATGTTTTTTTATCTAAATTGGGCCAATTTAAGATATTTTTTTATATATTTTCCAAAATATAAATTTTTCCGTGCGGGTGGCGAGACCCAGGATGCACCACGTGGAAGTAAAATCACACTCTCCTAATACGGGTAAAATATTAATAATTCCACCGGTTGAATACATCATGGTGTGTTTAATGAAATGACAAGTGATACTAACTCGATTATCGATCTCGATTTTTTTCCGATGATTGACATTGTTTTTAAATATAAGTCGAAATATAGCACCTATAGGCCGTTGGAGTTATCAAATGGAAAGAATAAATGAAAAATTTCCCTACCGCCTCGAGAATTCTTTTGTTCTAATCAGTTCCAATTCAACCACAATTGAAAAATATTATCCAATGTTCTCTTGATTAAAATACAGATTTCATTAGTATGGAATGAAATCATAGCTCCATATATTTTTTTATCTGTGAATAATTTTTGAGTGAGCGATTGATTTATTTTCTTTGCCTCTCAGCTCTTGGAAACCGTTCTCCAAACATACGTATGCGAATGGTACTCAACATTTTCCACAGACGAGGCATTTCTCCAAGAGCTTCGATTAACAATAGCCACTGCAGCTCGAAATATAATCAGCAGACTATTCCGCGCGAATATCTCAGAAGTGATATTCAATAATTTGATCCCAGTGGCCCTCCAACACGCCGAAGACTGGCGACTACTGGTGATTCACGCTCACAAGAATGGGAATAAGCCTGAGGACAATGTCCTTGATTATTTGGGACACAGGATCCACCCAGCAGCTCTCTCACGAGATGCTGAGCTCAATTATCTGAGGGGACTGGTCACGGGGTTCATTCCGCATTTGATTCCCAGCTCTTATATTTCGACGAATAATAAAGTAATCAATCCTGCTGTTCGGAAAACTGTCACAGAAAAACCTAGTGAATTCATTCGAACATTTTATTGGATTTGGATCGAATTTTCTATTAAATGTTTGCCGATCCTGTGGAAAAATTCCGGTATTTTGGCCAATAATTTGAAAAATTAAAAGAACCAATAGAATTTCATTTTTCTGTAGAATTTATTCGATTGAAATATTTTCTATATAAAATTCTCAGATCAAAAATTTTCCCATTTTTTGTTTGATTTTTTTCAATCAAAGAAATATATAAATTATAATAGATATAAATATATAAATAAATAAATATATAAATATATAAATAAATATATAAATTATAATAGAAAAAGTTGTGTAGAGAAATGAAGTTTTACTACTGTAATAAACCTGACAGAATTAACAATAGAATTTCAATAGTAATCCAATAGAGTTTTGCATCGAATTCGCAAAGTTTTTCTATGAATTTGTTTCCGCTCGTGGTTTATGATTGATTGTTAGAGTCTGATTGAATGCACATTTCCAGGTAATTCTGCGTGAGATTCTAGCGAATTGGGTGCTCCTCCCAGCCATGGACGCGCTATCCGACCCTGACACCATAAATTTCCTCGTTGAATTGTGCACGCAGTATCAGGGAGATTTGTCACAGGAACTCGATGCCGTGGAAGTCCCTGCTCTACAGTGTTGGATTACCCCGAGGATTACTGTTCAAGACACGGAAGATCCTCTCAAACCCTCGTTAGAACAAGTACTGGATAATCCTGAATTGTTGTACCTGTTTATGCAACATATTAAGGAAACTGGCCCTGTCAATCTTTTACAATTTTGCTTGGATATTGGTGAGTGAATTTTTTAAAGACATATCAACGTCATTCCTATAACGAATGCACAAACTAATGCGGTGTTGGAAGAGTTTGAACAATATTAAATCATTGTGAAATCGCGACACGGCCAAAAATTGTAGCTTCGTCAAGACAATATCAATTATTTCTTCTTGAGATACATTTACTTGAATCAAATAAAACAGTACTTGGCATCAAGTCACATGTATTCACCACAAAAATGGAAAAGTTCTTTTTTTTGTAACCTAATATAATCTCCAGTCGAGAAATTTTCTACTTTCATGAATTGATCAAAAATTCGTACCTAGGAGATGATTACATTGAGGAATGAATTGAATGTTGTTTTCTCGAATGAAGCCGATGTTTAAATTGAGCTTTCCGTGCATCACATTGAACGAAATTTGTGATATCCATGTTTGTGTTGAATTGCCGTAATCTGTGATTCTGTTATTGTAAACTAATGCGATTTTTTTTAGTCAAGAAATATAAACTTCTTTCAACTCAACGACATCTTACTACAATCTCAAAGCTTTTTCCGCGTAACAATATTCATCCTGATTCGACATACGAAATGCTCACTTCAATTATAATTTACTTGGAACAACGTATGATCGTGTTGATTGAGATAACAACGTATTTAGTCATGAGAATAATTTTGATTTTTGAGTAAACCAACGAATTTCTGGAGTTGGCAAACTTTTGGCTAGAAAGAAATCAAATACTCTCATTATTGCGACAAATAAAAGGAACTTCAATTCTAGAGAAGTTTGATTTCTCCCAATCAAATGTATCTCCAGAAGAGATAACTGGTATTCACTATGAAATCATCCTTATTTGAAAATTAGCAATCAAATGATGGCACAAGTAAGCCTTATTTGAGAACTCTGCTGTTTTTGTCTGACCACGACTTCTTTGTTAGAGAAGTCTTTTAGAACTGCAATTACTCAAGTAATGATAACCCATTGAGTCGATGTATAAATCATAGAAATTCACTTAGCGTCATGTATTCTACACATTCCCAAACCTACACTATACATAGTTTGCCACAAAACTGGCACCTTCTTTCCTGAAATCGACTCCTTTTAAAAAACAGATGACCTCAGCAAGCGTATGCTGAATCCCGACGTAACCCCCGACCTCGAGGAGGCGCTCTACACAGACGCGCAAAGCATATACTCCACATACCTCGACCCGCAAGGTCCGGAGTACCTCCACCTCCCCTGGCACATAACCCAGGGAATGCACCAGATCCTGGAGGGTGGTCCCAGCAAGGTGCAGGAGCTGCGGACCTCTCGCCCCCTGTACCAAGCCCACCAAGAGGCCCACGCGCGTCTGGAAGCCATCTGTCTTCCCTCCTTCCACCACAGTTTCGAGTTATACAAACTCCTCTGCGGCTCGCCGGTATCAACAGCCTTCACCAGGACCCCGTCTCAGAACAGCATCTCCGGAGGTGTCGGTGTGGGAACAAGACTCAGCAACCAATTGGGGAGAATTCGGGGGGTGCTGAGAGCCTCAGCCGTCGACGGTGCGCCCTTCCAAACCCCAGACGTATTCCAAGCCGAAGAAGTTGACTGCACCCCACGGACATTCAGCGATACAGCACTTTACGAGGACAAATGCTCCAGGGACTTGACCACATGGCGAGCAACTGTGCCTCATGTCGACGGCGGTGGGGCATATCCTCTCTACATGATCGCTGTTCACAGTGTAGCCGAGGACAAGTCCTGGACGGTTCTCCGGAGGGATCAGGATTTCTACGTACTTCGTGCTCGTCTCTTGGAGTTCCACGGCGACAGAGAGATGAATGACTCGCCATTACCCACGAGAAAGAATCAATCCACGTCACTGACGGCGAATCGACAGCGCTATCAAGATTTCTTGCAGAAGCTTCTGGCCAAACCAACCCTAAGGAGCAGTGAATTATTGCACATATTCTTGACTGCTCCCAATCTCAAATCCTATCTTGCGAATTACAGTACTCCCGATATTGGGATACTCTATCAGAGTGTTGCGCATAAGCTGAGGAAGGAGAAGGGACAGCATCTTGATAAATTCATGAATACGTTTTTAGCGTCTACTTGCGTTAAGTATGAGCACGCCGATCTGGGGATAGAACCGATTGCCGATCATCAGGTCGTGGAGACTAAGCAGAGGGTGGATTCCAAGTCGTCTGTTTTTGGGAATAATTTGAATATTGGGGAGTTCAAGGGGAGCCTGCCGTATGTTGCGCTGGGGAAGGGGCAGGTCAGGGGAGCCTGTTTCTGCATTGCTGAAGCAGGTAATTGTTGACGAATTTGGAAAACAGTTTGTCATCATCATTTAAATGCATATAAATCATTTCATTATAAATCATTATAAATCATCAAAGGGATAGACTATAGCAATATGAACCTCATTAATGATTTTTGAAAATTATTTTTAAATGTTTTTCATCCATTCAATATTAATATGCTGATTTCAGAGATTTTTTAGATGAATCATAAAATATATACGAAAAAATTTAATAAAGGGGAACCTCGCGCATTCGTTAGAAAATTCGATTGTATTTCTATTCAACTTTTTACTATCTTTGAGCAATAGAAAAAAATAATAGACTTCGATTTTTTTAATTAGCTTAAGATTCTTAACTTAAACCTTTCAGTTCATTTGATAGAAAAAGTTGTATAGAAATATGAAATTCTACTCATTTTTCCTATAAAATAGTTCCCACTGGACCTTTTCTATAAAATAAACGGGCAATGAATGAGCCAAAAACTGATAGAATTTTCAATAGGATTTTGTGAATAAATGCTGTCAATCCAAAACGAAACGCAACTATCAAAACTGACGTGATAAAACATCACTATTTGTGTAATTTCAACCATTAAATTGCCATTTCCAGTCGAAAACTTACTGGACGTCAGTGGATTGGTGTCTCAATTCACCTGGTTGATAGCATCTCTGACGCGTCCATCCCTGGACTCAATATGCAATAAATTCATGGATCAAATACTAACGAAGCTACTGAGCGGAGGACGTGCAGCGATAGTCGTCAAACTCCTTCACAATGCAATGTTCGAGGCGAAGTCGTCGACAGATGTGAATGCGTCAGTTGCTAGAGCCCAGAGATATACGAGCGCTAGAGAAGGATTGCACTCGCTGTTGCCATGGTGGTGTTTCCGTTTGCGCACGAATTACTGGTGCAGACTCATGGACGCACTCCTAGAACCCCTGCAGAACGCTTTCTTAAATAAACATTTGGCATATGTGCTCGTCGATCAAGTCCTCGCGACACTTTTTCCCGAAATATCGCAGGTCTAATGCATCAAAAGTGGTTATCTTAAATTACGATTTGTCTGTGTGACCTTAATTAGGTATCACCCCTACTTATCACGGGTACAGTTGATCAATAGAGGTGCAATCGTTAATTAATTATTAAATAATTAATGAATTACGCCGACAGAATTATTAATTGTACATATTACACAGTTGCTCAATGAATTGTACATATGAATTTATTCTGAGTGTTTCACTTGTTATAATTATTGTGAAGATAGGGAACAATTATGATATTGTAAATACAGCGGAAGGAAATATGATCTAATGTATTATCTCATTAATCCCTTTCTTCTTCTACAGTTAACTGGAGCTCAAGTTAACAAAATGATTGGGGCAGTACCCAGATACTTGTTCCTCGGAAAATTGGTCCCCATATTCTTTTTCTTTACGCCAATTTCTACGTTGTTTTTATTTTATTCGTCTGGTAAGTGTTGATTTATTCGTCGTATAGTCGTTATCACTACACAGACTGAGACCGATGCTTCTCCTGCTAAGAGGAAAAAAGCTTATCGTGATTATGATCTTCGCCTTAAATCTGCGATTGATACCTGCAATCGCGATGACATTGATAAATACCTGAAAGGTGTTGTTAACATTCTATCACTTTGAATTAATATTGATTCATATTTTTCACGTGGACTTGTTCTCGAAGTTGGGATTGATCGATTTGTAGTGATATAGGAATTGAGGTTGTTGTGGAAGATTCAAAGATAACCGTAATCTTCAAAGATTTTTCTCAAATTGCTTGGGAAACTGAAGAATTTTCATGAATTTTGAGTTTAGAATTTATGTATGAAAATCCGAGAGGCAAGAATTGATAATTTTTGCGTATGATAAATATGAAAAAATTAAAATTTCGGAAGTGAAGAATAATTAGTGAGTTAAAAAAATTTAGAGATACCGGTTTTTTTCTCATGATCAACAATTAGGCAATTTAGATATGTTTTGATATAAAGATACACTTCACACATGAAAAAATGATAAATATGAAGCAGAAAATTATTTTGGCATTTGAAGAATTTGAAAATACCGGGGATTTTCTTTCAACGACTATTTCATGTGATCCATTGACCAATCAGAATGGAGGATTAGCGGTCAGGAACTTTCGAGATATTTCGATATAACTACTGACTGACAAAAATTGGAATTCTGACTTTAGCTTAATACGGCATTGTGTTTTTGTTACGTAAACTTTGAGGGCCCACATTAAAAATAAACGTCGATATAAAACAACTTCACGTCTGTTCCAATTTACTAACCAAGATCGGTCACGCGTGCTACGCACGCGGCTTCTCATCTCCTCGCGTAGTGGCGCTTCGATTTCAGTTTGACGCTTACACTTATTCGAGATTTTCGAGATATATCGAGATCGATGTCTTTTCTCCTTTTGACGATGAGATAGGATGACAATATAATTCAACATCTATATTATCCCCTGGGCTATTCTACTCGGTCAACCTTAGATGTTTTTAAGGCATAAATTACATGGAAAGTGGGATGCTATATGCTATCCATCGACTTTCCGGACCTCTATACGAGGGAAATAATTCACTAATAATCAATGCACAAATTAAAAAATTCGGAGGCACACGGGCTCGCACACAAGTGGGGTATGATCCCACATCTTCTGTTTGCCGGACAGGTGCTCTGCCAATTGAGCTATTGTGGCCTCCTCCGCATCTTCGAATTTCAGAACTTGTGCATATCGTCTCACTATCCCCACTCCCCCCCATAAAATTCTAAGAGAATTAGAATTTAGAGAGAAAAAATTTCCGCTTCACCCAGCCGGGAACCGAACCCGGGTCTCCCAGATACGCGCCGAGCACTCTTACCGACTAAGCTACCGGGAACCACAGAAATTCACTCTCAAATTCACCTCAAACACCGCCTAACCTCCTTTAGGCATTAAAGAATTCTAAGAGAATTAGAATTTAGAGAGAAAAAATTTCCGCTTCACCCAGCCGGGAATCGAACCCGGGTCTCCCAGATACGCGCCGGGCACTCTTACCGACTAAGCTACCGGGAACCACAGAAATTCACTCTCAAATTCACCTCATACACCGCCTAACCTCCTTTAGGTTTGATAATATAGATGTTGAATATACCGGTCGTAAAATGTCTTTGATTGTAATACAATATAATTCAGTTTCCTCTGAAAATTCGAGCAAGCCCTCACAACGACCCATTACCGAACGATTTTCCAAGAAACATTTCTAGAACCTTATATCAGAAAAGGCAATAACAAATCACACTTTTATCTCCAAATATAATTTATATACATTTGATAAACTTTCATTAGTCATACATCGTGCCATAAATAATACCTTAATTAAATCTCGTCGCCGAGTATACGATATGGTACAAAGAATCAGTCTTGTAAAATAATGACGAACAAATGAAAATGGATACTTTCTATTACAACAATCGTTTGACACAGTATTACCAATACATACGATTATAAATAAATCCTGCACCTTTTCACACTTTATCAGAGTAATTTGATCGCGCGACTGAGGGTCTGCCACCCCCCAGTTCCACCTGAATCTCCTCCAGACTTTTTCCCTTGGTCTCGGGCACGACCAACAGCACGAACGCAACCCCCACAGCGCAGATAATGGCAAAAATCCAGAAGGTCCAATCGCTCCCCAGAGCCGCGTCAACAGGACTGTAGAACCTAGTAACGACGAACGCCATGAGCCAGTTGAATAGACAAGCGCTGCTGCCGGCAATTCCCTTGACCTGCGGTGCGAAGATCTCCCCTATCATCATCCAGGGGATGGGCCCGAACCCAAGCGAGAACAGAATAATGAAGACGCAGACAGCGAGGAGAGGCAGCCAGCCGATGTCCTCAGTAACGGGATTATCGTTCTTCTTCAGATTGAAGTAGACACCGAGGACGAGCGCCGAAACAGCCATGGCGGCGACAGAAACAAGAAGCAGCAGCCTTCTGCCCAATTTATCAACCACCAGAGTGCTGACGAACACCGCAATAACCTGCATGACTCCAACCACGATCGTAGAGATATTGGAGTCCATAGTGCTGCCGGCTGCCTCGAAGATCGACCCAGAGTAGAAGATGATCGCGTTGACTCCGCTCAGCTGTTGGAAGAACATGAGTCCGAACGCGATGATGAGGCCCCTGATCGCGGCCTTAGACCGCATCGCTGTCAGGAAGGAAGTCTGGTTGCGATCAGCTTCGGCGAGGGCTTCCCTCTGGGCTGTCAGCTCACCTTCGATGTTGTAATCAGGTCCGCGAAGCCAGCGGTAACTCTCTCTCGCCGCGTCGACGTCTCCCTTCTTGAGGTAGTAGGTCGGCGTCTCCGGCATGAAGAAGAAGACCACGAAGAAGACGAGGGGAACAATCGCGGCGATCAGGGACAGCGTGAACATCGAGACGACCGAGCCGAGGACGTAAGTGAGGAGGATACCGATACACAGCATCAGCTGGAAGTACGAGCCCAGACTTCCTCTTATTGAGCTCTCCGCTATCTCCGCTGTGTACATGGGAGCTGTCACGCAGAAGGCACCACCGCTGATACCGAGAATGTAACGGCCAGCCTCGAACATGCCCACTGAGTTGGACCAAAGTATCAGCGCCCAGCCGATTGTGAAGGGAACCACCAGCACAAGCATCGATTTCTTCCTGCCGATGATGTCCGTCAGGATTCCGATGGGCACGCAGATTGTGGCAGCTCCGAGGTTGAAGATCGAGCCGATCCATGAGAAGTCGTCTTCGTCGATCTTGATGTTGTACTCTTTCGCTAGGTTCACGCCGTTCTTGCCGGCCGGCGAGGACCAGGCGAGAACCATACCGGCGGCCAGGGCTCCCAGGGTCGCTGCCATTCCTGCTATGTATTGCGGCAGCTTTCGCGCGGAGGTCTCACCTCCTCGCGATACCAGCGTTTGCTGGGATATTCCCATGTGTGATTCAGTCATCGTGGGGTCTGCCAGCAATGGCGTGCTCTCAGATGTCTGTGAAGAAGAAATCAAAGTTTAGGATTAGTTTTTTTATTTTTAGTCTTAATATTTAGGGTGGGGGCAGCGTTTTTGGGGGGGCTGAGTGAGGAGATTGCTATTTTCGATAAAACGACATGGTGCAGAAATGAATGAATGAATTGAATTGTCAAGTTGAAATTGATCTGTTGGAAATTTTTATGAATAGAATTTTTAAATAAAGATGATTTGAAAAGTATTGCTCTCTGTATGTTTAAAAATTTCACTGTATCCTTGGAAGAGGAATTGAATAATTCAGTTCTGGTATCCCATTATCACTTCGTTACTCTATGACTCGCAAATGAAAAAAATGCAAGTCAATGCTGCTCGCATGGCGCACAAGCTATAATTCTGGAATATTGAATTGTAATCCCCCTCGTTTTCTATTTTGAATTCTTCCGGCCGAATTCCGCCACGTGGAAATAGATTGTGTTATGTCAGGAATGGGTAAAACTGACGTGAAAAAATGAGACAACCTTTTATGGAATAACTTTCAGAGTTTAACGTTCTCTGGTCAAAATTTTCGGTCAAAATTTTTTATTGTGTTTAATTTTCGGTTGAATTTCAGGAAATCTTGTCACTGAAAAATCAAATGTTGCGGTGATTTTCTGTTCGCATATTGCTCATTTATTAGCAAAAATAACTATACTTAAAATAACTATGCTTGTATATGCAATGCAAGCGCAATTTCCCACTGATTTTCATTTGAAAATTGCGCGGGAGCGGACGACCAATAACGTTCGTCGCATTGCAGCGAACCGCGAGCGATGGCCAACATAACGATTCACCTATCACGCAGCCCTTATCACTGCCCTTATTATTGACGCATTCATCAATAAAGAAATTCGTGGAAAACTATCTTATCAACAAACGTCAAATGATCATTAATAAAAAATGCACACGAATCTTGAAATAATTTGGGACCGAGTGCATTTTCTACGTACATTCCACTGACTCGCCCCTGCCACATTCTCATTGACGTCTTCCATATTTGTTGACATTTATTTGCAATCTCGTCGATTCCGCGAAGCACTCGTGACACAGGAAATATTTGGAAAAAAAACAGGCGTCGATGTGTCTGATTAATAGTTGTTTTCACCAAACCAATGATAAATCAGCTTTTTCTGCGTAGAATGACCGAGTGCGGTTATATGGCGCAGCCAACTCTCCGCGAAATACCGTAATTTCGTTTTTACAGACACTCAAGTTGTCATTACTTGCTACTCTACTATCTACTTTGAATTTTGTCCTCTTGTTTACATTTGTTTTTCATTACGTTACATACGTTATTGATTACGTTAGCATGAGCATCAATGAGCTTTCATCGTTAATTATGCAAACAGCAGTTTCAAGCGTACTTCCGCACTCTTGCCGGTTTAATCAACTGTTGGGAATTTTTTGAGAATTATGCCTTTACTTTTGTGGGAATTTATAACTCGAAAGTTCGGCCACGATTTTTGATAGCTGAATATCTTGTAATGACACGTAAGACAAAATTCCATAGAAACACTATGAGTATTACTATTAGAAACACTATGAGTACTACTATTGAAATGTTCATAGAAAATATTCTATAGACAAAGTTCTACAGAATTTGATTTTCTGTAGAACTTATTGTATTGAGATATTTTCAATAGAATTCCTTCGGCTCAAATTTTTCGGCTCGTTTTTTTGTTTGATTTCCTTAATGAAAATAGAAGAAAAATAGAATGAAAAAAAAATTGGAAAACTTGGGCCGAGGAAATTCTTGAAAAAATATCTCAATAGAATAAGTTGTATAGGAAAATCGAATTCTATTGACTTTTTCTGTAGAATATTTTTCATTGAACATTTCGATAGAATCGGCCAAAAACTAATAGAAAGTTCAACAGAAATCCCATAATATTGTCTAGCGAATTCGCTAGATTTTTCTATTAAATTCATTCGTGCGTGTAGAAATGTATAATTAATGCAAGAAAACAAAGTCAAGTTTTTTTTCTCATAAAACGCTTTTGATTAAAAAACTATTGAATAAATTGGTTCAACAAGAATTACTTTGAAAAATAATTTTCTTTCTCATGACCCAGTTGCCCTCTGTATCAAATACCTTGCAATAATCGATACTTTCGAGCTAATAATTAAACTCACTCGAAAAACTCACGACTTTCATTTTATAAAATTTATTTATTCACTAATGGTTAAATATCGTTTACATGATTGCCTATTAATAAATGTTTTTGTATATAAATGTTTTGTTTTTCAATATTAATCTCAGATAATAAATTCGCGAATTATTTTGCTTAACAACTGTTTAATAAAAGTAAAATTTAAGACTTTATTCGAATAATTATCGCGTCGTCAAGATTAAACGAATGCCGAATGTCTCGTAGAATTCTGGTCGCGCACGATTCCAGAAGTTGTTACTCTCATGAACTTTCAAGTTCAAGTGTGGAGAAGTGAAAAATATTTTCGTTAGAAAGGAGAAAATTCAAGGGGTGGTTCTTGAAGCTTTAAGTTAATGAGTGGAGGGGAGTAGGATCTTCGAATTGATGAAGTATGAATTTTGAGTGGTGTGATTGGTTGGTCCGAATTGTCTTGACCTCAAAGGTGAGAAAAGTGAGGGAGTCCGCGTGGAGTAACTCAGTGTTGGTATGTTTGGGGTGGCGTGGAACTCAGGTAGAGGGACTCGTTAGGTGATGCGACCGAAAATTCGTCTGGAAGGGATTAAGTCATAAACGGTCTTGAGTGAAAGGTATTGAATGGAGACGGAGGACTAGATCATAAACGAGCTGAATTTTGTTGTCTTTTGAAAGAGTGTCGCAAAGCCGAGGGAAAACACATCCGTCGCGACGAAACGGATTAAATTGTAAAATGTCTGAAGATGTTGTTTTCGAAGACAATGTTTTATTACGGTCAGAGAGATTTTGAATAGACGGGAAAAATCCGAAAGATATTTTAAAGACGGGAAATTTCAAGACTTCGAAAATGGATTTTATTACGGTTGAGGGATTTGCTGCGATTTTTTGTTTGAGGAAAATAAATTTACTTTCAAATTGTTGGATGCAGCTGGCAAGATTCGAAGAATTGGGGAATTGGCCCGGAGTAATTCTTGAAATATTAAACTTTGAATAAATCGAATATTTTTATAAAAACCTAGATTGTTGATAATTGATGAGACATTCGACATGTTACGAGAAATCTCTAATATATTGTTCGGTACGAAACACCCTCGTCTTTAAAACAAGTACTAAATCTCTTGATGACAGTTTTTTCTCTTGCAGGCTTTCGATTTTTTAAGCCAAAATTTTAAATAAAAAATGCAATATGTCGAATTAAAATTTTGGAATTGATATAAAGTTGAAAACAATTATAATTTTTATAAAGCTATTGGCTTCTCTACGATAACTCTGGTGGAAATTCCTCAGAGGTTGCGATAACTAGAATACAAGGGTGATTTTTAACAGATAAAAATTATTGAGACGGAGTTTATCGGCATAAATGAACTCAGAAATGGCATGACACTGATAGCAGAATCATTCTATTCTCATTTATCGCATTTCCCCGCAGAATTAAAGAATATCTCATTCTGAGAACTGATTCATTGCGTTAATTATTCAATGATTTGACTACGCTTCGCAGTATTGGAGTGTGAGACTCATAAACTGGGGATCATGCATGAAAAAAATTAAATAGAAATACCTAGAAAAATACCTAGGTATCTCTTTCTGCAAGAAAATTAATACAATGTCCCCCGGCTCGTGTAGATACTTGTTTATATAAAAATATCTAAAGATGTTGATTTTTCTATGAGAATTTCTGGGCATGAGTATTTTTCCTTGAATTTTGTTTTATTTTATTAATTTATTTCCAATCGCATCGACAACGTGGTCATTAGAGACTATTTACAAAAGAAAGAAAAAAAAATAAATTGCAATATAATACAATATAAGTATATAAGAAATATTTGAATTTTATTATGAGAAACAAATGAAAATACAGCAGAAAAACTTGGAAAATTTACGCGCAAGAATTTCTATAGAAAAATAAAAATTTATCGATCTTTTAAATTAAATTTCTCTTAACAAAATGACACATTGAAGTTGTATAATCTCCTACAGAAAAGCCGCACAAAACGAATAAATTTTTTTAAAAGAATTCTAATAACCCTTCAAGGGAACTCGCATCAGCTTTTCTATTAAATTTCTTCACGCGTGATAGCTAACGAGTGTCATTCATCTTCACACAGGTCAATGGCATGTCTTAACGGTTCCACCGAAATTTTATTTAATAGATCTCCAAGTTTACGGCCTTTCGAAATTTCTCCTGGCCATGAAAAATAACATCGAAAAATTGGGCTTCAGGGATTTTTGTTTTCAATCGAGAAAAGAATGTGGGGAAATGGTGAATTTTCTCGTTTTGTGAGTTTCTCCTTCGCCGTTCGCGTAATATTTCGAGGTTTTTATTCCTCGCGTACGGACCACCAAGTGAACATTTGTGAAATGATTTCGGACGCACTTCCATTCCCACTTTATACAGTGCAGGTACGATTTGTTATCGCATTGCATAAGAGAGTGCGGTGCGCGTGAATGCTGGGTTTGCATTCAGAAACGAACGCAGAAATAATATTGAACTGTTGTGACAATGTTTACCAATGTCAGCGGTGTATGATTTTTTCGGTTGAACGATGCTGTTGAAAAACTTCCACCAATGAAAATAAAATGTTTCCTGCAATTCAGATTCCGCCACATCCGATTGCATAATGGATTGGAAGTGACCATTGAGATGTGCGGAAACTATGGATAAGGTGCGACATTGTATTCAATTGCTGGGGATTCAAGTTGAATCACTCGCGAGGGGGGTTATAATTGTTTTTGTTAGTGGAAGTAATTGAATTTTGAAGGAGCAGTGCTCGACTCTTGGGCATTTCGCGGCGCATGACGCAGACAATTTGAACGTTGGTGCGAAACGATGCTCTCTATTGACAACTTTCCTTTTTAAGT